TGTGAAATACAAAAAAGAAAAGAAAAATTTAGATGCATTTAAAAGTGTGACCAGACTTCCGTCATCTTTGAGTATGAGTTCTTTATCAAGACTAGGGAGAGAAAATGTGTGTATTCAAGCATGAGAGTTGCAGGTGCTTTTCTTCGATTATTTAATCAAACTCCATTGTTTCTTAAAAATAAAACAATCAGAACCGCCATTGTAAACCCTTCGCTGATTAATTGGAAAAGAACATTGCCAAAGTGTTTCACATCAATCACATGCATTCAAAATACAAATAGCAAAAATATTGACTACATTTTGTTTCCTCATAAATTCTGGCTTTAAAATAGATTAGCAATTCTAATAAAACGAAACGCTTTTTTTCTTCAGTTTTCCAGATCTTCTTTTTTTCAATTTTGTCGCTATGTATAACAAGCTCTCTTCATTTTTAAACTGCAACTCTATTTTACTAGTACTGTTATCATTATCGAAAATCAGAATGTAGCTTGCTCTTGTGTCACCAGTAAATTTTCTTACGTATTCTTAAAATTCGAAAACAATTGATTGTTGAGTTACGACCATTAAAACAAGCTAAACGTACATACAGAGATCAACGTGGGAAGATTAATTATAGGAATTGAACAAGAACTGGAATTAGTGGAGGAAATTGCATATCACAACTCAGATACCCCATTCTCTCATCATTACGTATATACAAGACTACTTTTACAAAAACAAACTAATCAAAGGTTGTTGTGCATTTATTGTCATCTATTTGTTATTTGAATCATATCAAAAATTGAAAAGTTTTCTGTGCAGCGTTACTTCGCTACTAGATTTGCACGCCATGACAAATAACTCTTCAAATGCGAGTACTATTCTGCTTGACGGTTGCTCAGTCTATTTAGATCGTCCAGATTCGGTTGATTCGACTCGTACCGTCCTTGCTGTTCTCAATGGTTTAGCGTCGCCTCCAACTGTCGTTATAAACGCGTTGATCATTTGGGCTGTTCTTAGTGAGGAAGATCTTCGATCATCTTGTTTTAACCTTTTGCTTGTATCTTTAGCAGTGACTGATTTCCTAGTGGGACTGCTGGTCGAGCCTCAATTTGCTTTCTACCTGAGATGTACTCTTGTGAACAATTGTCATTTGCCATGTTTGGGAATTGTCATGTATTTTGTGCCAGAAATGATTTGTTGTGGNAAAAGGCTGTATATATATAGATACACCTAATTGAAAAGGTTTGTCATATAGAAACAATTCAAATTAATCATTTAGTAAAAAGACAAAAGAAGATCAGGGGTATCTTTTGTCTTTCTAAATATATCCCTTTGTGCTATAAAATACAAATAATGTTCTATTTCTTTGAGACAACGTTTTTGAAAGAAAAAATCGACGACATATAATTGTTTAGCTAGGATATGGGGACCCTAGTTGAATTTCCTGTTACCTTCGGAAAGATTTCAGCAGAGTATCCTCTGATTCACGATGCATTGATGTACATAAAAATGCACCAACATAAAGGAATATATACAGTACACTGACACTGTGAACATAGGGTACCAAGTGAACGCACTTTCAAGAAATTGTCCTAATCTCTTTCTACTAATTTGTACACTCAAGTGAATGGTGTCCTAGAAAGTTCCTCCTCGTCGCAGATTTAGTGCAATGTTTTGGGCCATTTTGATTTTGATTTTGCAGTAGTTAATTTGGGTCAATTTTGTGCCATATTGTGTAGTGTTTTATCTATATAATGAGTTCTCTCTACCATTTTAAAGCTCTTAATGTATGTATACGTTTAGCTAACACGGTGTAAAAAAACTAAATCGACTTTTCCATTAAAGTTTTGTTCAGCTCTCAGTTTTTCTATTCCTAATGAATTTTTTATTGACATGGCATAGTAGTTTGAATAACAGTATTCTTGCCCTCATAGAATCAAAGAGCATCTGGCATTCATAGATCATCAAGCTTTTCAGTGATGATTGAAAATTTTTCCAACCGGTTCATAATAATAGAAGCCTTGTCGAGCTTGGGACTCCCCTTCCAATGACGTCACGTTGTTCATTTCGCAGGTACGGGTCATGTGATTGTAGTTGATTGACTTGCACAGCGAGTTCTTTTCGCAATAGCTCATGCACAAGTACAAATCATCAACTGAAGTTTCTTTGTAAATCACATGTCTTCTGGCGAGTGGCGGACTCTGCTGGACGTTTCCATAGAATAGCTCCTCCATCTTCCAAATGCCTCCTGAAAGAATAGAGCTGTTATCATATAGGCTGATGTGCACAGGTGAGTAATGTTCCTTTCGGATGTTAAAAAATGCAATGCAATGCAATACAATACAATAATTTTTATTAATTCCTCCCACCGGGCTTTTCAAGATTAATTTACAATAAGTATAATAAGATATTAATAAGATATTTACCAGTCTCGTACACTGTATTGGTGTCTTTGGTACAGTTACATGTAAAAGGGTCTGCTTTGCCATATCGACCATAGCTAACTCCACATGTGCAACGGCTGTCATTTTGTACAGCGGCATATGCATATCCACTTGATTGACAAATCTTAAGACATCGGTTGGTGGTCGCTGTTGTTTCCAGACCCCATAAATCACGTGGAACACTTTCTTTATAACAACCCAGGAATTTGTTATACAAAGGAACTGCAAAAAGCAATGAGAAGGTGTTTTTATATCTCAAGTATGCATTCAGGTTTTCTAAGGATAATAACAATCTAGCTAAAAGCACATMAACAAAGAAAGAAAACAAACCAGAAGGAAAGTCTACTCCCAAACCCATATTAGGGACAAATGGAAAAGTAATACGGCCCAGTCTACTTTTACCTAAACAGTAGACAGTGTTTCTCCAAACACCACCGCATGTTAGTGCTGGGTCGCCAGAACATGCTCGACTGCATTCAACTTCAGGTTTCTTTCCATAGAGTCCGTATTTATTGTCGCACCGACACTCATCGCTGTTTTGTAAGCTGGCAAATGCAAATCCAAGGCCTGAACATCTTGAGAAAATATATTTAAATAGATGTGATTACCAATGTAGTTTATTTTGATATCTTAAATTCTGTCTGACGAGTGCATTTTAGAGTCACAGAGAACCAAGCGTGTTTCCTTGTAGCTCACCCATTTTGATTTTTGAACTCAGGAAAACATGGAAAGACATGAAAGATGACCACTGAAGCGAAACACTTTCTTTTCGGTTATTTTAATTAAATCCTAGATAGCAAAAGTTTTTTTCTTATACACCTACTTGCAGAAACGTTGTAGGAAATAGAACATTCGTATTTAGATAAAAGGGATAAATTAAAACAAGACAAAAGAAAGCGTTCAGCCTCAGTGATCTTCTTTTGTCTTTTTAATGTATTCCTTTTTTACTAAATACAAAATGTCGTATTTTTTATGACAACGTTTTCGCAAGTAGGTGTATAACGTTTTTGTAATGAGGTGTATATAAGTCAATCAAAAGTTAGTATATATCATATAGTGTATATTCAAGCCCGTGGTACTTTCTTATATCTACTACTACCATCAATCAGAAA